TTTAACATTATATTCATTGCATACATATACTTCGTAGTAGACATCCTTAACTCCTTTCTGCTGTCTGTTGTTCTGTTGTTGGTGTTTCTTTGTTTGAATATGGCGCTTATCACATGCTGTGTGGTATCGGCGTTTGGTATCGGGGCATTTTAACGAGTACGAGTATGAGTACAGGAGACCAGTATCGGTATCGGTGCATCCCTAACAATAATCCACAAGTAATCCACACCACTCCAGTCCATCAGTTAATGACTTGAGAAGACAAAAGCTGAAACAAATCCATCAAGATGTTTTTAACTTCAAACCGTTGCTTCTGGCCAAAATATGAGTCAATAATCCATAACAACGCTTCCTCCAGTGAAAAAGTGGTCTGGTCTGAATCAGGAGAGTTTTTCACATCGCTGAGCAAGTGATGGAATGCTACATTTCTCCAAATCGGGCGAATAGAAACAAACACTTCATTTTTGGGTGAAAATATTCCTATAAAATGCAGTTTTCTTTTTTGTTTTACCTATTTGTTGTTGAAAAGGGTCAGTGCTTCTGGCAGTGAAAGATTTTATTTGAATCCCAGATCATCCCATTGGTCTTCTAAAGTCTTAAATCCCTCTTGTGTCGTTTCTAGAGTCCTCTGCCGTGGATAAAGGGCTTGAAATGGGGCGAGTATGTGGGATCCCCCAGTGCTCCGGACCCCGTGGTCTGTTTCAGTCAACCTCACGGCGAACACTTCGGCTCCCTGCTGGCGCTGCCCACACGTGCCATCTGCGGCCTCTCGCGCAAGTTCTGCCTCATGATGATCTACAGCAAAGAGCAAGGTGAAGGAGAACACACACAAGAAACTGCTTCATCACGCATAAACATGAAATTATAAACCTGATATATCCAGTGTGGGGTCAGTAAGATGGTTTTATGAAAGAAATGAATGCTTTTATTCAGCAAGGATGCATTAAATGGATCAAAAGTGACAGTAAGGACATTTATGTTTCAAAAGATTTCTGTTTCTGATAAACGCTATTCTTTTCATCAAAGAATCCTAAAAAATAAAATGTATCACGGTTTCCACAAAAATATGAAGCAGCACAACTGTTTTCAACATTGGTAATAATCAGAAATGTTTCTTGATCGAATCAGCATATTAGAATGATTTCTGAAGGATCATGTGACACTGAAGACTGTAGTAATGATGCTGAAAATATAATAATATTTCACAATTTTTATTGTTTTCACTGTATTTTTGATCAAGTAAATACAGCCTTGGTGACTTCTTTCAAAAACATTGAAAAATCTTCCTGACCCCAAAATTTTGAACAGTAGTGTTTATGAATTTCAGATGTGCTCCAGATGTATTTAGTGAATCTTCATTTATTTATCTACAATTATACAATTATTAGCAGATGTTTTTATTCAGTCAAACAGATGTTAATACCAGGTGTAAAAAAAAACAAAAGAGAACCCAGATTTTTCTGTTTTAAAGGGAAAAGCAGCATTCAGTGGCCATTATCTGAAAATTAAAATATTAAATGATTAATCTGAACTGCTAATATATCAGCCAGTTACTAATCTTGGCTGTGTTTTGGTCCATGAACAGTTTCTAGTGCTTTTATTGCATCTGCATTTGTGTCTTATCACAATTATCCGCATGAATGAACGCAGTTCTCATAATACCAGAGGAAATGAGAATGAAGTGAATGTGCTGTCGTTGAAAATCACCTCACAGTACAGATGAAGTGTTTTCCCGTTGTCTCTCAGGTGTAAGGAGCATGCATAGCACCGACATACAGTGGTCGGCTATTCTGAGCTGGGGTTACACCGACAACATGCTGCGTCTGAAGAGCAAACAGAGCGAGCCGCCCATCAACTTCATCCAGTGCTCACCGCTGCACCAGGTCAGAGCCAGAAATACACAGGCCACGCTTGGACATCAATCTGTGTTTGAGACATTTCAGCTTGTACAGCATTTTGTGATGTGGCATTGCACTCTCGTCTGTTATATATAGACGTCCACAGCACCCTCTACTGAATAAGATAAATCGTATCTCACAAAAATATATCAGGTTAAATATCACCCCTAAATCAAAAGAACAAAACAAGACATATTTTGCATAATTGTACATTAGTTTTTAATTGTTATGAAAATGTCACAATGCAAAAATCATAATGGTTCTAAAAACAGACTCTCTGACTCTCTCTCTCTATACACTGCCTGGCCAAAATTTGGATTTAAATAAGCAAATACTGAGAGTCTAGGATTGGATCATTATTGCAGTGACTAATATGTTTCTGGCATGTTGTAGTTTTTCATTTATTAAACAACCATGTCGGAAGATGTACCCATGTCCATATTCCAGGATGTCAATGTCAAGATTTATTGGACCCGATTTGTGAAATTGTGGTTTAGGGAGCATGAGGAATCATTTTCATAAATGAATTGGTCACCACAGTTTCCTGAGCTTAACCTTATTGAAGGTCTTTAGGATGTGCTGGAGTTGACTTTATAGAGTGCTTTGACTCTCCTATTGACAATACAAGATCTCAACCATAAAATGAATGCAGTTCTTCATGGAAATAAACGCTGTGGTGTTGCATAACTTTGTCGAGACAATGCCACAACGAAAGCAGGCAGTGTACATACACTACTGTTCAAAATTTGGGGTGGGTACGATTTGTCAGTGTTTTTGAAAGACCCTTATATTCACCAAGGCTGCATTTATTGCTTACAGTAAAAATTATTTACAGTTAAAAAATTGAGAAACTGAAAAAATTTAGAACATTTTTACAATTTAAAATCATGGTTTTCTATTTGAATATCTGTTGAAATGTAATTTATTACTGTGAAATACAGCTGTATTTTCAGCATCACTACTCCAGTCTTCAGTGCCACATGATCTTCAGAAATCATTCTAATATGCTGATTTGCTGCTCAAGAAACATTTCTGATTATTATCAATGTTATTTGAAACCGCATTTATTTGAACTAGAAATCTTTTGTGACATTATAAATGTCTTTATTGTCACTTTTGATCAATTTAATGCATCCTTACTGAATAAAACTATTAATTTCTTTTTTAATTCTGATTTTTGGTGAAATGTGAGCCAGACGTGTCTTGATGGCATGTACGTTGTCATGTCATCAGATGGTCTCGGCTTCATTTCTGGTTTGCTGCTGTGTCATCTTCCTCTCTGCAATCTACTAATTCATTACTTCAGACTTATTGTTCATCCCAAAGAGGCACAAAATCACTTTCACAGACTTT